AACACAGAAGCAGGGAGAATGAGGAAAAGGAGAGCCGGGGGGGGGGGGGTATTTTCATCTTCTCTCAGGGCAGAGGGTCAGAAATGTGTGGTTTGATCAGCGCTCCTTTAATTTCCTTCTTTATCCTTTGATGATCTGCCCCCCGGTCTCTTTCTCCTCCCCCATTCTTCGTCTCCCCTACTCTCACAAACAAATGTGCTACATGTGGATGCATCCACCTTTGGAGCCTCCTTTCATCTCACCTTCTTCTTCCTCTGTCACCTTCTCTCCGTGTGTCTGCTTTCCCGTTCCTCTTTTACCTCAACACCTCTGTCTGAGGAGAGTCTCTCAGCTTCTTGTATTCGAAGTCCTACAGTTCAATTAGCACTTCTTCTTTTGTCAATTTAGAGCAGATTCACTCAAGCACCAGAGGTAAAAAAAAATACTTTGCCAAAGAGACACAGAGACTTGAACCATTTTCAATCATCCTTTTAAGACCCCGTGTCTATTTTTACACCCCGACCACTGGTGTTCTGCCCATTCCGAGCAGATGGAGAATAATCCAGCCAGGACTCATGTACCCATTAACACGTCTTGATGTTTCTGTACTGAGCTGCGAAATGGAAGAGGTGCACACACTGTAAGCAGTAATGAGAATCAAGTTTCTGACGGAGCTGTAGTGATTAAAGAAAAGGCTGACTAATGCTGATTTAATCACTGTCAGAGTTTTTTAGCAAGTTACTGTGGGTGTAAAAGACACTCTTTACACTGGAAAAACATAGAAGTGGACAGTAAAAAGAGAGAGAGAAAGGCTCCTGTTTAATCTGGACCAATGTTCACTGTGCTTCTATCTCTGTTTTCATGTCCCGCCTTCTTAGCAATGAAGTTTCCTCTGATTGGCTCTCATGCTTATCTGTTTATTGCTCACTGTTCACAAAGCCTAGCTGATGGCTATGTATTTTATATGTGAATTGAGAGAAAATCAGCGTGTCATAAATCATCTCTATGAAGCAGCGCCCTCTATGGGTTTAGACTAAAATGTATAAACAATTGTTGCATGTATTCCACTAGAAAATGCAAAAACAAACACTAGCACCGAGAGATGTGTAGTTCAAATTTATGGATTTCCTCCAGCATCACGACGTGCCGTGAACACCACAGAGTGATCTCAATCACGTGTGGTCGCCAGAGGCAGAAACATCATTTATAATCTGCGTGGAATTTCTCTATAGTAACGATCTGATTATGAGACGGTTTTAAGAACAGGTGGAGATGAATCTGTAAGTCGACACGTGTTGTCGTCTTCATACATCATGTCCCACACTCATTATTTTAATGTCCTCAGCAGAAGCTGTCAATCGAAGGATCAGCCGTTTATCGGCCGCTCTCATGTATCCGACAGCCGCGCCGCAGCGTCGTCAGTGTTCACCTGTCATCTCACTGCTATCTTCTTTTAAATATGACTTCTGCCTAACCCCTGTTTCTGCTGTGCACACACTGCACCTCCGCATCACCACACGGTCCTTGCAAAATTTATCAGATGCACCATTCTTCATCCCTATCAGTCTCAGCAAGTCATCAAGCACCATCACCACCTGTGTCTGGGCTTTATAGGGGCATTTATCTTCCTGCTCCTTGGGGCAGATGTTCCACACACACTATAAAGACTTTTATATCACATTAATCTGAGCAATCTCTAAAAGAAAAACTTTATTCACTTGACCCCCTCTGACGCACACAGAATCATTAATTACATGTGAACAGCCAGATAGTGTTCTGGGTTTAGTAAAACGAGCACACACGGGCAACATAAGGCCCGTGGACCAGATATAGGCCGCTACTGCCTTCCAGAAAATACAAACAGAATAATGTGGTTCTTCCACAGAATAAATCAACATGCAATTCAATATAATCATATATTTCTCCAACATAACTACTTGTACTTTTAATAAATTAAGACTGTATAAAAATTATGAAGACTTTTCAAGGGAAATAGCAAATGTATATTTTCTCACAATGTATCGTTTCCCCTTCTTGCTCTAAATTTTTTAAGTACTCTTCTTCTGGTGCGTTACTGTGGGGGAAACTATAGTTGCGTCATACTGGTGCTTCAATGAATGAGGAAAATCCATGCTGTTTGACTGTGGCCTCAAGATTAGGAACAGACGAATGAAACTCCCAGCCTGCCTTGCAGCACCCCGGAGTCCACTGCCACCATGTTAATTTGATTGAGAACGCTCGATCAGCACATGCTCGACCCACACCTTTGCTTTAAATGAGGCTGTTGGTGAGGAGCGGGGGGGATTGAGAATACACAACGCCATCATGACATGCAGTTCTAACAATGAATCACTGACAGGCCTGTCTCAGCATATAATGTTAAGGTTAGCTCCACTGTGGGCAGCCAGCATTACATTGAAATGTGATGCCAAAGGAGAAAGAAAGACAAGAAGAGGCTGGGAATGTAGATATGGTTGTGTTGTTTACATGCTGAATGTGGCTCTCTTCACTTCTGTAAACAAATAACCGACAGCTCCTCATACCAGGACTCACTCTCCTGTTTTACAATTTAAACATCCTTCTTATTTTAGGTAGCAAAATGTGGTGCGTGTAACCCTGGAGGTCCGCAAGCTGCCACTGAAGGCTGTGCGAGATAAAAACATGTAATTGTGGGTTGTTGTTTTTTTTTTTTGTCCCAGACAATAAAGACATCAGTTTCTGGGTAATTTTGAAATGAATATAAGGTGTAATAAAATGTGGAGACATGTGTGATTATGCAGTGTTTAGATGAAGCCTTGTAGTGTGGGGAGAGTCAGTGTACCAAGAACACAGGCAAGTACTTAACAGTCCTGGCCAATGTTCCCCAGATGGAATTAATGTGGAGCCAGAAGGACAGCCTACTTAGTCCTTCTCTGCAGTAAAACAAAAGCAGGATTGATGAGTGTGTCGCTAATGCATATGTGACCACTTGTGCATGGGGTTGCTAGGAGTAAAGTGTTGAGATAGAGGAGAGAAAAAGAAAAGGAGGGCTGGACGTGACGCTGCTGGGAGAGACGGACACAAATGGGGTCACAGATAAAATAGAGGTTTGAGAGAGAAGGTGTAGAAGAGCTGTAGCAGGAGGTAAACAGAGGGAGATTTATGGGCCTTTTTTCCCAACTGTCTCCTTGGTAGCCACTCTGTGGGTTTTATCCGTTCGACCACATTCAGTAAGAAACGTTCAATGAGAAATATTACCGGTCAGCAGGCTAAAAAGGCCCTGTGCTTTTTCTTCTTCACTAATGCTTCGACCTTCCATCCAACAAACGGAGAGCGGCATCAAAAGTCACTTCCTCTTTTGTCTCACTGTGGCGCAGTTGAACTTTCACTGTGTCAGAGCTATGGTTACCAAGGATAACGTATGAGCTGCAAACTCCTGTAAGTCACTTCTGTTGAATTCCAGAGAAGGCGCTGTGAGGATTTCTATCACGTCTTATCACGGGGCGTTAAAAGCATAACATTATTTAATACATTCTTACTTCTATGCCTTAAATAACCAACCCCCCCTCCCCACCCCCCTCCCTCGTGCAGGATCATTAAATCTTTATGTATGATCTACTTAAAGTCTGCCGTGGTATTTGGGTTATATTTAAAAACATGTACACTGTACAGGGCGTGAAAAAAAAAGTGTATTTTCAGGAATCCACCCAGTTTCACGCTCTAAAAGGTCAACTCTATTTAACCATTATTCATAGAGCAGCTCATGCATTACAATGAAAAGTATGGCGGCGGTGTGAGCGGGAAAAACCCACCCGAAAGAATGAAAAGAGTGGATGAAAAATAGCCGGACATCAGTTTTCCATGCCTGTCAGCGTCAGGATTAATCGGAGCCATTTTTCCGTAATGAGCTGTTAAGTGTTTGCTGCTAAAAAGGCTCTTTGTTTGCCCGAGACTCTCGGAATATTTCGTCCAATTACAACAGCTGCCACCGTGTCTTGTCACAGTCGGCGGCGGTGTACCTGTGTGACAGCCGCCTGATTTCTGCTGCTGTTAGACAACACAATCACCTCTTTGCCAATTATCAGCAGTGGAGGTTTTTCCACCATTGTCGCGTGCTGATGTTATTACACGCTGTTTGTCAGTGACACGGCATTTGCTAACTCAACTAGCATCATATTTACAGTAAGAGCCGTTATTCCGGGGATTACAATCCGGGCCGTGGCTGACAAGGCTGTGGACAAAGTGCTGACAGTGCCTTTTTTTTCTTTTAGCTGATTTTGGTGTTTTTGTACAACTTAATGACGCCTCAAATTATGCTATAATAATATGGTATGAAAGTTATGATAACATGGTACAGTATAAATTGTAGTGGGTTATCACACCTGCTTACACATCTGCCTTACATGCAGAAGGTCCTGGGTTTCCCTAGTGAGGGATCAATGAAGTTCAAATCATTGCTGTTATTATGCAAAGTGTAAGATTGACGCATTGCTACAATTAGAAAATAATTTCAACGGCTCACCGTAGAGCAAGGTGATTCATCCCTCAACCTAATCCAAATCACAAAGATTTGATGATTTTAAACATGTAGATGCATTTACCTTTGTCTTCATCTTCTATCAAACTATGTTGCCTCAGTGATGAGGAAAAAATCCTTTAGGCTTGACTAGAGGTTTTTTGTTGAAGGAAACAATAGCAATCCAGTTTTCTTTTTTTTTCTTTTTTTTTTTTTAAAAAAGACATTTTCTTGCAGTACTTTTAGAGAAAGAAAGTTTGGGATCAGTGGTATGAACGGTTGTCAAGGAAAGCAGGGCAGAGTCCAAACCTCTGCCTGATGAGAAGAAACTGCTCCAACACATTTACAGTTGAGTTTTACAGCACAAAGTAAGATAAATGGAACCAGTCGCTATGACAAAAAGTGAGGAAAGAGAAAAGTTAAAAGTGTGTGTGTGTGTGATAGTTTCCATAGTTTCCAGCCTGTCGCTGTAAAACATCCCTTTCCTTGTCTCTCTGTGCGACAAATGTGTGTGTGCGTCACCTACCAGCATAGGGAACTGGAGCGTCCTTGTCAAGAGCCACCAGAGGGGGGTCCAGCAGGACCGTGTCCATGTTCTCTGTGATCACTCCATGGTAGGATGTCTCTATCCACGGCTTGTGTTTGTTCACTGTTGGAGGGAAAAAGGAGAAAAACGTTCACTTTAACCTCATCATACATTAGTTACCACCAGATGTCAATTATTGATCCTCTCGCTGCAAGATGACAAACACCCCAAGTCACCTTCCGGCCTTCCGGGTCAACATGATGTAAATCGTGTGTTTGGGCCCCCTTGTGGTACAGTTTTATACTTTGGATTTGTATAAGATTGTGAAGGGGGGTCGTTAGGTAAACTTGAGGGTCAACATGATGTAAATCGTGTGTTTTTTTTCCTTCATATCTCAATTCCTACTCTTTCTGTAGCTCATCACTCATTTCTCAGTCTTGTTGGGGGTCGGGGGTGTTCTGGGTGGGATGCATTTTTTCCTCTTCAACTTCCCTTATTTAGCACATTCAAAACAGCCATAATTGACTCAAGTTTTCTTACGGGCTGTGACAGCGAAACCTATTAAAAACAGTGATTAAATCATTAAATGATCCCAAATAGTAATAAATAGGGAGTGCGCCTCAGAAGTGAAGGACGCCGCTTGAGCTGAAAAGTCGTTAAACACGTGTGAGTCTTGAGCAAAAACTTGATTTAAGATTTAATGTTCCAAGCACTTTTAATGTGAAGTTGGCGTTGGCTCATAAAGGCGGAGGCACAACCGGACGAGGCTCCGTGGCGTCTCTTTCCGAGCCGGGATTTAGGAACCACCAAATCTTTCCGATTAGAGGATCCTTAATGGCTCTAATTAGAGCATTAAGGTTTAAAAGCGCAGAAAAATAACAAGAGGGGCAATAATGTCTGGAAATCAATCGTAAAAGAAGATAAGACGCCGTTAGAGTCGAGCTAAAACTAAAACAAATGAGGCTCACACTTCCTGCTCCCAGTGAGGAGGTGAGGAGCAGCGTTTGGGATTATCTGGAGGAGACAGACAAATGACTGGTCTGAATACACACCGACGGAGCTGAGGAATGTCTGCACCACTCCATCGTAATCAAAACACCGCAGATAGGGCTTGACTATAGTCCACAGACTGGGCCAAAGGAGCGTTGCCGTGACAACAAAACTGATTAAACTGACAAATGTAAAAGCATCTTCAAAGACCACGCTGTGATTATTAGTAAATTGCCTGAAATGCCTGAGGCGTCCAAACTGCCAAAAACACTAGGACGTCGCTGAGCACATAAACACGTACAACCAGAGGTATGTACGTGTGTGTGTGTGTGTGAGTTTGTGTGTGTGGAAGTGCCTCGCAGTAATGGTGGAATTATGGGATATACAGGATAAAATATAAACAGTATATGGAAAAAAAAACAACCCAAAATAGTTGCCTTCAAAATAAAAGCCTCGCAGTCATATTTTGTACACCTATTAGAATTTAATTCTAATTCTGACTGTTGATTTCACTATATTTCACATTATATATCCCCGATTGGAGATAGGCAGAGGGGCGGCTGTGGCTCGCAGGCCGTATATTACCTGGGTTTGAAAAGAACTGAATGTATAGAGTATAGAGACAGTTTGTAGATGACGGTGTATAACATTTTAAAATCAGACTAAAAAGTCTTAAAATTACTAGAATCAGTTTGACCAAAACAAACAACGTCAGTGAATGTAAATAATAAAAAGACCTTTAGACATTGGATGTTAGAAAACCTGGCTTCCTCCTCATGAAGAATCTATGCATCACACTGCAGATGTGACCCACAAGCCAAGAGGATTTTTTGGGAATTACAGCAGATCATATTTAACGTACGACTGTAACTATAAATTAAATTGGATTCTCGCTCTCTTCTCGCCCACCAGGATCTCACTGGGAGAAACAGATGAACAAGAATAACAATGTGTGTGTGTGTGTCCAGCTGGCAGCAACTTTAGCTGTGTTTTCTCAAACCTGCCCGTAGAACTCAAAGTAGTTTTATTTCAGTCTTTTTCTCTCTAACTTGTCACTGTTGAAAGAGTCTATAAATAGAAGAAATGAAGACGAAGCACGTACAAGTCAAAAGGACTTGTTATTTCTAGGTAAATGTAAACCTCGTTTATTCGCCCATTTTTATCAGCTTTACATCTCGAAATGTTTTTTCTTTTTTTAAATCGATCAATTATGTTCGCAATTTTGTTCAAAAAAACCCATTCAGTTTTGCCCTCAGATCTGCTCATCACTCTTGGCGACTTAAATCATGCTGAGACAGAGTAGAGGGAGAATTATTGAGAGCAATGGAATCAGAAGGGAGGACATTATTCATACAGGGAGACTCATCTCATGCTCTTGCAGGAGATGGAAAGCTCTGCAGTGCACAGCGTGATGCTGCTCCGCTGCGTCGTGGAAGGCACAGCTCTGTCTTCAAATAGTGTTTGCATGCTATTCCACCTGGACTATTTCAGCCGAAATGGGGAGAAATCAGTCCATTTAGGTGCGGTACAGCAGACAGCAGGTCTGAACACATACATACACCTATGGATTTAATTTCCACAGTTACCCGGGAATCAATTTCATCAACGCCCTTTTCAATCCAAACCACATTAGACAAGGGGTTAGGGCAGCTGTAAAACACACTATAAAATCAGCATAATGAAGCGACTCCTCGGTCTTGTGTGCCTGCATTTACCAATGTAAATACATATTAATCCATCACGCCTGCACGGCATTCCATTTCCATTGAAGACGTCTCCAGGAAGTCTAGCCCACAGCCTGTATGGTTCACTCAAGGATGGCAGGTTCAATTTCTGGCTCAAGGTCTTTACATTTATCCCAGGCAAATTGGATGTTGGATAAAGCAGCCAAGCTGTGACTTTTTGAAGGAAGGCTAATGCGGGTGCTGTTTTTGTGGAATGCGCACACATCAATGGACGAAAATTGACTATTTGCAAAATGGCTTTCCTGATCTCTGCCACTACCAGGCTATTAGCGATGCATTTTTGCTCTTTATCCTCAGCTTCAGAGTGTAAAGATACAGCACTGAAACGAAATTGCACGTATGCTTTGAAAATAGGGCTGGAGCTGATGCCGATATAACGTGAGGCATGTTGATCAATATAGCATGTAGCAGCAGCAGCAGCAGCAGCAGCAGCAGCACAGATAAATACTGCTGTCAGCATTACTAATTTCCAGGCTCATGATTACAAGGTGTAATGTTCTTCACATCTACAATCCCCGTGCTAAGACAGGAACAATTGCTGATGGAGAATTGCAACAAGCTAATTTCTCTCAGTGGTTTTAAATTGATTGCCAAATGACAATTTGAGACATCTTCATTTTTACTTTTTTGTCTCATTTGCAGTGATGCTGTCAAGGAATTGTCACATGTTAAACACACTAATTAGTTGTCAAAAAAGGGCAAAGGAAGCAGAGCAGAAAGTGTGTAATATTAAAATGATTGCTGTGAGCCGCATTCATGTATTTATTTGATTATTTATATTTATTCCATCCATCTCTCTATCTATCATCCATCTATTCATCCATCATCCATCCATCCATCTATCCATCTATCTATCCAATACAGACACTTGATTAAGATGTAACTATAAATCAAATGGAGCTAACCGTGTTGTTTTTGTTTTTGGTGTACGTTTCTTGCACGTTGTTAATGACCTTCCGACCGCAGATGCAAAGGTAAAAGTCTAGTGTTGATGACTGTGAGCCTGACCATGATGTGAGGAGAACTGTTTTAAAGCAGACTGTGACTCTCAGTCATATGTAAAAAAAAAAAAAGAACCCACTCCACTGAGTCCAAAGTGACCGGAAGGCAGACATTAACGTCGCCGAGTCCCGCGGCTAGCCGGGCGGATGATAAATCATTTTCTACTGTAGCAGCTGATTCCTCTATTAATGAGGTTACGAGTGTCACTGGTCGTAATATGCACAGTGACTCTGGCTATTTCCTGAGGAACATCTGCTGCTATTACAGCATTAGGCTCTACATTATTAAGGCCTAATTTGTTTACCAGCAGAAACGGTATAACCATCGATCTAGTAGAGAGAGGAGCATAATCGGACAAGACATTCGTATGGTAAAAAAAAAAAATACAGACACAAAAAGTCCAGGAAAATAATAATACAACAGGGAGAACGCGGTGTTGTCATCCTTAATAAGAAAAACGCAGTGTCCTCTGTGAGTTAGGAAACCTAAAGTGTGTTACTGTAGACAGACATGATAATCTATATTTAATTTAGTCCAAACTCGTCTTCCTGTACACACTGTATTTCTGCCTAATATAAGTCATGTCATGTTCCTAATGGTAGCGGTTATTTGATTACGCAGACGTGGATGTGAAGTACAGCGGCTGCCGTTTACAACAGTAACAAGACGGCGATGACAAGGACAACAGCGGCGACCATTAATAATCAAGGAAAAGTCTCTACTAGTTAACTTAAATCACACACCAGGGACAAAAGTGGATCAGGAAGATGGATGACACGCACATAAATAAAGTAGGGAAGAGATAGAAATTTAAAAATACATTAAGTGGAGGGTTTTAAATATGGGTAAAAATGAACCGCGAGCGGAGGAGTAGTAGACTTTAGGACAGAAAATAGGGCGATCAAGGAGAAGAAGAGCGAACGTCATTTCTTTCACTTTCTTGTTGAATTATACACTGCTGCCCAAAGGACATAACAAATCCTTCGATTCATTTTCCAATTAAAAAGATTTAATTGAATTCATATAAAATGCATTAGGTGCTAGTGAAGAGACTTGGTTAAATAAAATAATCCACGAGCTGACTGTCTCACTCATGCCAAAAGGTCCAACAGAGAACGCTCTTGTTTTTCTCCTTTCACCAAATCCGTTGTCATTTGGTTTTGTTGTTGTTATTTCCTATTTCCTGTCATCAAACTGGGTTTAATACCATCGCCGTATCCTAAAAAAGGACATGTTTGGGTTTTTTTTAATTCAGAATTGGTTGTTGAAAGGCTGTGGGGTAAAAACAAAGAAAGACTGTCTCAGAGTGTGTGTCCGTGTCTGTAATAAACTGCAGGAAATACACTAGGTCATTTCAGCCGCAGTGTCTGCAGGGCGTAGGAGGAC